ATACTGGGAATCATGACCCAGCCGAGTTAACAGATATTTTTTGGGGACACGGTTCAATCCGTGACACCTGGCATAGTAGACCATTTGATTATCTGACTCAAAATGGCTAATACCAGTCCATTTTAGCTGACTAATGCCTAGGATATTGATCTTTATATGTTCCATTTCATTTTTGACGACTTCCAGTTTTCCTAGATTCATACTTGGTACATTCCATGTTCCGATTATTAATGGATGTTTGCAGATGTTTCTTCTCATTTTGAGTCATGCCACCTCAGCAAATGGAGGTCCTGAAAACTTGACTCCATCCACATCATTAGGGGTCAACTCTACTTTGAGGAGGCAGCTCTTCCCCAATTGTGTTTTGAGTGCCTTCCAACCTGAGGAGCTCATCTTCTTGCAGTATATCAGACAGTGTTCCTCTGCTATTCATAAGGTTTTCACTGGCAAATTTTTTCAGAAGTAGACCACCAGGTCCTTCTTCCTAGTCTGTCTTAGTCTGGAAATTCTGCTGAAACCTGTCCACCATGGGTGACCCTGCTGGTATTTGAAATATTGGTGGCACAGCATCCAGCATCAGTTCAACACACAAGCCACCACAGTACAGCAAACTGATAGACGAGTCGTGGATAAATATAATTCTGATGTAAAATATAAATATAATCCTATCTTTCCAAATTATATGTAAAATATAATTCTATCTTTCCAATGTTTATCTTCATAAGACCAGTGGAAAAATATATTTCAAAAATAAATCTATATTTTACTTAACGTTTAACTTGGTCACTCTCTAAAGCATTTTCCAGACTTGGTAATGGAAAACATACCTAGATACGAATTTCTTTTCCCACCTAGAAATGTAAATAAGCATTTACAGATTTCTGTCTGTATGGAGGGCAGAAAAACATTGAGTAATGTTTCAAATTTTTATTTTAGCTTTGTTTGTATGAAGAAGTTGCTTTTGGCTGCCAGTAGAAACTCAATTTAACATTAAATAAGAGTAAAATCTGATTTTAGTAGGGAATACAAATTTCTTTTTTCGATCTTAGATTTTAAGTAACTGGAGAGAAGAACGATACCAAGATGATGTAAAAGCACGGCAGATGATGCACGAAGCATTGCAACTTCGTCTCAATTTGGTAAGAGATATTTCTAGTATTTGCCCTCTATTAAACTTACGCACATGTGAAAAAAATACTCCAGCTTTCTGTTCCCACACTACGTACAACGGCAAGACCTTCCAGCGTTTGCTCTTTGTCACGACTTCCCTGTCTCTCCAGCATTCTCTTTTCCTCACTGCTTTCCTTCCTGTCTGTTCTGACTTCTAGTTGTAGATATTTTAGACATTGGTCTGCCCTCTTTACCAGCCCGCCCCTCCAACTCTTTCCTCTTCAGTTTGTGCTCAGAGTATGTCTGAGAGGACTGCCGTTTTGAGATGTGTGTGTTTTAACTGTAGGTATTTTTTTTTAAATGTCTTTTGAGTCAGTAGTTTGTCAAACTTGCCATCAAACTGATCATTTAAAAACAAATTCCATCATGAGGCTTCACAGACATTTAACATTCCTCACCCATTGCACATTCCTCTGAATTCTTCCTTTCCCATTGGACAAGTCCAAA